TCAGAAAAGATGTGTCGTTAAATAAAATTTGTTTATTCGGAGAAAATTTGAAAACTCGCTTCCGGTGCCAAGTTACGGACAATTTCCTGAAATTAAAATGACATTTTGTCCGCGATTAAACTCAAAAACGGTAAAAGATATCAACATGAAACTTTCAAGGATAAGGAGATCGTGATATATACCATCCAGTACGCGACTCTTCGTTCGTCGTCGGTACTTCCTGTCGTCAGGAGAAACGAATTATATGAGATGATTTACGAGTTTAAAATTTTTATCAATAGGTCAACAATGGATTTTTTTTTAAAATATGGCGGCCAAATTTCCTTTGGACATCTTTGAAATGCATTCAGCAAGTGTTCAATGGCATCAGCCTTAAGGAAAGCAGAGAAGTCGATCTTCGGTCAAAGAAAGTAAATGTGATAGATGTGTTTGAAATAAAACTGTTTGACAATAATCAAGAGAGGGACTTGCCTCCTTCTCCTTTTTTCTTCGCGGATATAGACTGGACAATACAGTTTTCAACGTACTTTGAGATATTGTTTATGACGTCACCATGCTACTGTATGCGCATTGAACCCTCTTCCCTCGTTGAATACGCCTTAAAATCAGTCAAAAAAAAAACTGTATGTGTTTGTATAGATTCTTTGTTGTTTATTTATAGATTAAATGATAATGTATTTCATCATTAGTATATTATGATATAAAAATATCCCTCGATAGTCAATTATTGAATAAGATGTAAAATGTATGTTTTTTTCCTGTAAAAAGTGTATATTGTATCAATTTTTTTAGATGTTTATTTTCTATCTGCGAATAATGAATGTATAATATAGTATGTAAACATGGTTAATGATGGTTGCTTTGGCTTTGAAATACTGAATGTACAGTGCACCAGTATGAGTTTAGAGAGGAAATTTACTCTGTAAATATTTGCTATTTTCAAATTGTAATTGTTGTAGTGAAAACTGTATCGGTGATTTTCTTTGGGAGGAAATTTACTCCGTAAAATATTGTTATATCAAGGATAGTTGCTTCTAATTTGACTACTATATGCTTAGTGTATCAGTGTCATTTTTAGAGGATATTTATATTTTTGCCTTTTTCAAATTGTAATGTGGTAGTGAACACTATATCAGTGATAGTCTTAGGGAGGAAATTTACTCTGTAAAATCTAGCTGCGTAAACGATGGTTGATTTGGCATTGAAATATTGAATGTACAATGCACCGACGTGAATTTAGAGAGGAAATTTACTCTCTAGATTTTTGTTAATAACAAACTTTAATGTAAGTAGTGAACACTGTATCAGTGAAATTGTTTGGGAGGAAATTTACTCCGTAAAGTCTTGTCATATAAAAAACAGTCGCTTCTGAATTGACTACTGTATGAATGTTATTTGAGAGGAAATTTCCTCTCTAGATTTTTGCTATTTTCAAATTGTAATGTAGTTGTGTACACTATATCAGTGATATTCTTTGGGAGGAAATTTACTCCGTAAAATCTAGCTGTATAAACGATGATTTATTTGGCTTTGAAATACTGAATGTACAATGCACCGACGTGCATTTTGAGAGGAAATTTACTCTGCAGACTTTTTTCTATGTTGAAATGTAGTGGTGAACAATGTATCAGTGATATTCTTTGGGAGGAAATTTACTGTAAAATCCAGCTATGTTAACGATAGTTGATCTGGCATTGAAATACAGAATGTACAATACAACAACGTGAGTTTAGGGAGGAAATTACTCTCTAGATTTTTGTTAATAACAAACGGTAATGTAAGTAGTGAACACTCATCAGTGAAATTCTTTGGGAGGAAATTTACTCCGTAAAGTCTTGTGATATAAAAGATAGGCGCTTCTGAATTGACTACTGTATGTTTACCGTTTGAATGTCATTTTGAAAGGAAATTCCCTCTCTAGATGAAATGTAGTTGTGTACACTATATCAGTGACAGTCTTTGGGAGGAAATTTACTCCGTAAAATCTAACTGTGTAAATGATGGTTTCTTTGGCTTTGAAATACTGAATGTACAATGAATGGACGTGAATTTAGAGAGGAAATTTACTCTGTAGATTTTTGTTAGTACTAATTTGTAATGTTAGTATAGAAAACTGTATCAGTGAAATTCTTTGGGAGGAAATTTACTCCGTAAAATCTAGCAATGTAAATGATGGTTGATTTGGCATAGAAATACTGAATGAACAATCCACCGACGTGAATTTAGAGAGGAAATTTACTCTCTGGATTTTTGTTAGTAACAAACTGTAATTAAAGTAGTGAGCACTGTATCAGTGAAATTCTATGGGAGGAAATTTACTCCGTAAAATCTAGCTATGTTAACGGTGGTTGATTTGGTATTGACATACTGAATGTACAATGCACCAATGTGAATTTAGAGAGGAAATTTACTCTCTAGATTTTTGCTGTTTTTAATTTGTAATTATTTGTAGTGAATACTGTATCAGTGATAATTTTTAGGAGGAAATTTACTCCGTAAAATCTTTCTATATCTTGGACAGTTGCTATTGAATTGACTACGGTATGTTAACTCTATCAGTATCATTTTTGAGAGGAAATTTACCCTGTATATTTTTGCCTTTTTAAATTGTAATATGGTAGTGAAAACGGTTTCAGTGATAGGTTTTGGAAGGAAATTTACTCCGTAAAATCTAGCTATGTAAACGATGGTTTGCGTTCTTTAAACTTATTCGCACCAATAAATATCTTGTAAACTGTGTTATTTGTTGAGTTTTGTCGATACCTAAGGGCAAAATGCTTAAAACAGAAAAAAAGATTTTCTGTTTTGATTTTGGAATGCGTTAAGATTTAAACTGGTTTGTCAAGTAATTTATTTACATGTATACTCACTTTGCTGACGCCCCTGTTTATGAACGGAACGTGTTCGAGATAGAGAGTTTGAGAGTGATGCGTGTTACGGTAAGAATGGTGTTATTTTTGTGTTTTATTTAACTTGAATTATACTAAATATTATATTCTTTTATCGTATATATAATAAATACCGGTATATTGTTTATTTTGATGTAGACACCACATACGCAGTGTAAAACATTCATGTATGAGTGACTGGGTGTGGCATCGCCATATTTTGGTGGTATGTGTTCGTTTGAATTTAACTTGATTTGCTGATTAATTATTTTATTTTTTTGTGTGTGTTTTGTTGGTAATGTGTATATATATTTTTGTTTGTTTGTAGCTCATTGCCAATTTGAAATTTAATTAAAATAAAAGAACCGTAAAAAGAACTTGACTTTACTCGTTACAATTATAAAAGGCGGGTAAAATTGCATTTTAAAATCAGAAAATTGTCCGTAACTTGGCACGAGAGAGAAATTAAAAAAAAACTCTCGGATAAAATAACTTCATATATCAACACAATATTGTTCCGGCAAGTTTCATCCATCCAGTGGTCTTTGAGAAATCGCGTGCACAAAATTAGATGGTCGGTTTGTTGAATTTTTTTTTAAGACAAATCGTTAAAAAAGAAAAGCGGAAGAAATTTGTCCAGTTGTAACGAGTAAAGTCAAGTTCTTTTTTTACGGTTCTTTTATTTTAATTAAATTTTCAAATTGGCAATGAGCTACAAACAAACAAAAATATATACACACATTACCAATAGAACACACAAACAAAAATAAAATAATTAATCAGCATATCAAGTTAAATTCAAACAAACACATACCATGCACCAAAATATGGCGATGCAACACCCAGTCACTCATACATGAAATGTTTTACACTGAGTATGTGTGTCTACATCGAAATAAACAATATACCGGTATTTATTATATATACGATAAAAGGATATAATATTTAGTATAATTCAAGTTTAGTAAAACACAAGACTAACAACTTTCTTACCGTAACACGCATCACAACTCGAACACATTCCATTCAACACAGGGGCGTCAGCACAGTGAGTATAAATAAAGTACTTGATAAACCAGTTTAAATCTTAGAGATTTACTCAACAAAATAATAATTTTATAAATTCAAATCACTGCACTGAAAATTAATAAAAAATAGATAACAACTACATTAATATTCAAATAGAATTTTTATAACGTTTTTTAATAATATAATCTCTAAATAAAATTAAATACCAGGTGCAAGAACAGAAACTCTATAAATAGACTGTCGGTAAAAAACTATGGTGCGCGTTTCGCGTTCTTTAAATATGCGCAAAATCTACCGTTACATTCCTCCCCGCACAATTATGTTGATGCCCTCATCAACAAGTAGATAAAACTGACTATATACACAATTTATAAAAACGCGAAGAAATGTCTTTCGTTCAAAGTCATAATCTATGCCTCTATCTCCTCATCAGAATCAGACTCTTCACAAATATTATTTTGCTCGTTTTGGTGCTTTTCTTTCATGTCTAAGAGCTCGTTTCTGTGAAGAACTTTTGTTTCATTACTACCATCTGCTGACTTTACTTCGTAAACATTTTCCTGTAACTTACCTGTGACAATGTAAGGATCTGATTTCCACACATCTTGTATCTTATTCCTACCTTGTACATGATTTTTGATAAGAACCTTTGTTCCTACATCAATTGAACAAGGAATGGATTTCCTTTCGTGAAACTCTCGTCGTTTTTCTGCGCTCTTCTCTGTGTTCTTACCTGCAACAGTCCAGGCGTACTGAAGATGCTCTTTGTGAGACTTCAACCAATCGTCTACCTTGTAACTTACATCGTCCTTGTTGGTACCTAACAAGTAATCTACAGGTAATCTTGGCTCTCTTCCATAAAGGAGGAAATAAGGAGTCAATCCTGTGGAAGAATGAGGTGTAACATTGTAAACATAAACAAGTTCTGGCAAAACGCTGTCCATTTTCTCTTTCTCTGCGCATCAAGCGTTCTTAACCTATCATGCATCGTTCGGTTGAATCTCTCGCATTGCGAGTTACCTTCAGGATGATAGGGAGTACTACGTGACTTTTTGATACCATACCACTTGCATAACTCTTTAACCACCTCACCCTCAAAATTCCTACCTTGGTCACTATGCAAACGACTTGGTATGCCAGTTTTATAGAACCAATTGTAAACCAGTTGTTTAGCGACAGTAGAAGCTTTCTGATTCTTTGTAGGAATTGCCATGGTAAATTTCGTGAAAACGTCCGTCAAAACGAGAACATTCTCAAAACCATCTGAAGATTTTTCTAACAATGTAAAATCCATTGCCAAAATGTCTAATGGTTGTTTAGCTATCAAGTTACCCATTGATGGCCTAATCGTTGGAACTGGTGTCTTAGCAATCTTGCATCTTTCACATCTCTGATCACTTTATCACGTCTGCCTGCATTCCTGGCCAGTAACATCTTTTCCTCACAAGTGCAAATGTTCTTTCGCGACCCTGGTGTCCAGAACAATCATGCAGAGACTCCAT